TCCGCTTTAGAACAAGCGCGCCTGCTCTTAAAGGGAATGTGAGATGACGCTCTGATTGGTTTATTTCACGTTACGCCCAAACCACACCTATGAATAATGAAGCTACTTCAGACAACCCCTTTTAGATTTGCGCCAGGTGCAAGAGGCATTTATCCCGCCGGGAAAATAGCAACAGCGCCGGGATCCGCCCACAAAGTTACTTGCGCTTTGCGCTTTGACACTTGCGTTTCAGATCGTTAAAATAGGGCCCCTGGTCTTAAATTTCACGATCAGATAGCTATCCGATCACAGGAAACGCATAAAGTGGCCAGGTGTTCTGTAGACTTGCTCTTTATTTATTGTTTTTTACACTGTAGTGTACATACAACCAGTAAAACATGTCCTGTTCTGTAGTCATGGTTAATATTTATTTATTCATGTCGTACCAGTCCAATATGACTGTCAGTTGAAATAAACCTTATGTTGTAAGAACTTGTTTTATTTATTATTCTTTTTATGCGTTTTCCCATAACTTTTGTAGTTTTACATATGTTTAAAAATATCGAAATTAATATCGATATCGCAATAATCATTATCGATATCGCAATATCACTTTTTTGTCAATATCGTGCACCCCTAGTATATAATGCAATTGCACTTTCAAGGTTGCGCCGAGGTGCAGAGCGGGTGACCCGGCCGCTTAGCGTTGGTGCAGCAATTGTGGCGATGGGCCAAAATGTCTCCATTGGTTACAATAGTAACCTAAACGTTCCCTATCACTCAGTCACGTTCGACGTTACGTCAGAACGACTGACGAATTAGGATCCCTACCAAAGCGCCACAATTGCTGCCCCTCCCAGTGCTCCACGTAAGCTACCTGATCCCCCCGTACCTACTGGGGCGGAAGATGGGACAGGGCTTTACGCTGAGAAGGTCGATCAATGCTGTTCCTTCTGACCCATACAGTGAGACTATTGGATAACACTAGGAGAGCGAGCCTTTTCCAGGTGGAAAGGAATGCTACGGAGACCACATCCTGCCTGTAACATGTGGAGATTACACATACGGACTGACCAAGAGGGCAGAGCAGACTCTGCTCAGGGAAAGACACTGGCTCGCCAACAGGGAAGCCGTACTTTGGACTGACCCCTGGGCGTACTTAGGTTAGGTGGACTCGCCCAGCCCGCAGCTCTACAGACGTCTGCCAGCGAGCCGCCGTGCAACAGCGCCCAGGAGAAACCAATGCTCCTGGTAGAGTGAGCTCTCACCCCAAGGGGGAACAGCTGGGGCGGGGTGCACGATGCAAATCCCGCACGCCAATGTGGATTGGATAGTTTAGTTTACACTCGAAGGTGATTACACTAAAAAAAATGATATGTTGGCTTTACTTAACTTTTTTATGTAAACAGGTTCCACCGGTTCCACATAACTATGTTTCGTTAAACAAACATAATATGTTCATGTAACTTCAACATCATGGAATTTGGTCATTTTAAGCGACCCAATTAAACTCTGAGCTAATGAGTTAATTAAGTGAATAATTGAGTGATGATTGAGCGTTATTGAAGACACCTGATGTTAACAAGCAGAATCTCTGAAGGAGAAAACCGGAATGTTTAAGTCACCATTATGGAGATAAGTATTTGTTTTAGTTGGGCTCTTGACCATTAACTTATTAACTTTAGATTTTGTTTGGTTGCTGTACATGAGTTATAAAAGCCGGATGAACAATGAACTAAGGAGATCTGATGGTGTTGGTTGTGATTTAACATAATCATTATTTCACAATCATTTGACCTCAATCACTGAACTTATATTGAACCCAATTTCTGAGTTAAGTTTACCTTACTGTCATTGTAGAGCATACTATTTTTAGGCTTTTCAATGAAATTCAAATGATCAAATCAAGAAATAAAAAATATGTTAAAAAATATGTTGAGTAGGCACACACAGACATCAAGAATCAGCATATGAATCTCAGCAATGGTGACAAACAGATCATAAGCTCATTATTTATTCATGCAGCAATGCATGATGGGAGCCATGAATGAGTTTTGATTGGTGGCACCCAGAATGCACTGCAACATGCTTTATAATTGTCACCATTGTTGAGATTCATATGCTGATTCTTGATGTCTGTGTGTGCCTACTCAAAATATTTTTTAGGAAGTTTCTTTTTTATTTATTGATTTGATCATTTGAATTTCATTGAAAAGTCTAAAAATAGTATGCTCTACAATGACAATGCTGCTATTATTCGAAAGGTTAACTCTCTGGGGTCGGCGGTCTCGCCGGCGATACCAGCTCACTTTTTTCCTTATCAGTGCAAAAGAGACTCAAATTACTCTGTTAATTTTGATCTTACATATAAGTGTTGTACATCATTCGATCCTGTTAAGTTTGTATTTTTTTTTGTGGAACCTCATAATAAAAACAAAGTGTTGTGCTTTTCGCCTAATAAAGAAAAATAAACATGATGCGCGTTCTGCGTTCTCTCTGTCAGTGAAGTCCATTCTGAAACGCGTCCGAAAAATCATCTGTAACTCTGCAAATACTCAGTCAAACAGGTATACAGGCACACAGGCATGAAGCCTGAATTATCTTCTTTTAAATGAAGTAATTTATATAAAAAAAATTTTTTCTCATTTTATATAATCTGTACGAAAAGAGAGAGATGATAGTCGTTCTCGTCTCAGCTCATTAAAGTTAATTTGACCACGCCCACGGAGCGCGCGCTCTATTCAAACACAAATGCTCTGAGGCGATCCACGCCCACATCAGCTACATAACCCACCGAAAGAGACTCATATTACGATGCTGTGAGGAAAATTAGGACTATCTTAATAATAATCCTGGAAAAAATTACCTCAGAAGTAGGCTACAGGTAGTTTCATTTGGAGGAGCAACGGATCCAGCCGAGGAAATAGGTACATTCTTTATTTTCAAGTGCTTTGTGCTAATCGCGATATGGAATAGTGTCTGTAAACAAACAGACTGTTTGAATCGCGTTTTTGTGTGTGAATGAATGAACAGCTTTTACCTAACTATATTCCAATACTGAGATGAGTAAAAATCGACTGAAATATGTTAAAATAAAATATTTTTGTATAAGCAACGTATTAAACTGCAAATTAACATTTATATGTCCTAATCATAAAAACGATATGTTACATATGAAAGACAAGATGTCGTTTTTACTGTAAAATACTGCCACATCAAATAAGCTTGTTGCTAAGATGTTATTACAGTGTTTGTTCGATTGTAAGCTATATTCAAACTAATTAATCCGCAACTGTGAAATATGTATGATAAAATGTATACTTTAGTATATAATACAAAGAAAGATTACATTTGAAATATAGTTAAAATTTTAATTGTTGTTGTAATTGTAACCTTTTTATTAAAATAGCAAAAATATATGTAGGCTACATATAAATAAATCTTAGGTAAATCTTAAGAGCTCAATATAAGCCTCCTCTTTAAATTATTTGTATTGTGTTTTATTAGTGACACATTTGGGATACATTCCCAAACTTTCTGTAAAAAAAACAATATGATAATTAAGTGCACAATTACTAGAAATTTTTACATTTGATATTATACAATTTGCAAGCACAATTTGAAAAATAAATAAATAATTGGAACTGTGAACCAATTTTGTATTATATAGGCATATATATATATATATATATATATATATTGTATTGCATTCTTGTGGCTCAGTGACACACCTGAATGAAAGGGTCATTAGTATGCAGCCCCATTATGCGCTCATTATGCGGGCCCATTGTCTTCTCAGGTGTGAATCACAGCAGGTCACACCCCTGCGCATATTGCCTTTCCAAACAAAAAGTGTCATTTTTAAATTTAAACCAATCTATTGTTTTATGTGAATTATAAGGCAGGATGATTTTCAGATCATTTTGAAGAAAAAACTCTAGGCTACAACATCCATTAGTCAAAAGTCTTGTGGACAGATATTTAGTATGTGTTTTGTGGCCTTATTTCAGAAACTTTAAGTTTTAGTTTTTTCAATAACCACGCATAAACAATATTCTCTCAAAAATACAAAAATGTACATACATGTTGATAACACATTATGGTAGCCCTGTGTGTGCTAAATAGAGTGTAATTACACCTTTGCCAGTAATATGTTTATAAGCAACTGAAAAAAGCACAAATGTCAGAGTATGTCAAAACATCTCAAGGACCCCAAAAACACCTTGGACCCCAGAGGGTTAACTTAACTCAGAAATTCGGTTTAATATAAGTTCAGTGACTCAGGTCAAATGATTGTGAAATAATGATTATGTTAAATCACAACCAACAACATCAGATGACCTTTGTTTATTGTTCATCCGGCTGTTATAACTCATGTACAGCAACCAAACAAAATCTGAAGTTAATAAGTTAATGGTCAAGAGCCCAACTAAAACACACACTTATCTCCATAATGGTGACTTAAACATTCCGGTTTTCTCCTTCAGAGATTCTGCTTGTTAACATCAGGTGTCTTCAATAATGCTCAATCATCACTCAGTTATTCACTTAATTAACTCATTAGCTCAGAGTTTAATTGAGTCGCTTAAAGTGACCAAATTCCATGATGTTGAAGTTACATGAACATATTATGTTTGTTTAACGAAACATAGTTATGTGGAACCGGTGGAACCTGTTTACATAAAAAAGTTAAGTAAAGCCAACATATCATTTTTTTGAGTGTAGGCTCTCAGGCGAGATCCCAATTCTTCAGTCATTCTGACAAAATGTTGATCGTGACTGACTGAAAGGAGAACCATAAAATAGAATCAATCAGTATAGATAGATTGTCATATCTATCTATCTTCATATCTCAAACTTGCTTTATGCTAAATCACTCAGCCATTTTAGACATACAATATAAATTTCTGTAAAGCTGCCTTGAAACAACATGTATTGGGAAAAGCGTTATACAAATAAATTTGACTTGACTTGATTTGGAATCTTACAGATTTCCAACATTATTCCTTAGAGGCATCAGGACAGGAAAAAAAGTTTATTTGTTCCATAACTGCAGCAGAAATGCTGCTTTTCAGTGCTTTTAAGAAGGTATTTTGCAGTTTTTAAATGACTATTTCCATTATATGTTGTCACTATAATTCTTTATTATAATACCTTAACAATAATAGCACAAAACCACAATCACAGTCATTTGAATTAAAAAAATATTTATCAGGTTGCAAAAAAATTTAAAATAAAAACTCTTAACATCCTGCCAAGTCACATTAATATATATACATTTCAGTACATTAAAGATAAAGTAAGTAAAGTAACTTGTATTTAATTATAAATTCACATTGATATTTATTAACCAACCAATAAGTCTGAACAAGAATGGCATAATGGTCTTACATGTGCATGTATTTTTTTAAAGGTATAGTTATTGAAAGGGAAAAATATGATCTCTGAAGTCCAGGATTTGTACCTTCCATTAGGATTTGTCTTTAGCTTCTTGCATTAAATTGAAAATAAGAAGATACATGTTCTTTTAAAATGTTATTTTTCTAGTGTGAAACTTCAAGAATCTGGACCCTTCTAAATTGCTGGTCTTCCAATCATCACAACATGTGAAATAATTTAAGAATAAAACTAGTATGTTAAAAAAAAGAAGAAGAAAAAAGCAGGAGATTTGAAATTTTGCTGGCTCAAAATTGATCCAGAATTTCTTGTAGTGGAAATAATTTTAATATGTACTTAAGTCTGTGAAAGACTTTTTCAATCATACTGTATGGCAAGAGTCATAAAATGACTGTTCTAATCTTCCTTTAACATATGCTGATAAGAATATTAAACCTTGAGTATACTTTAGAGTAACTTGAGATCTTATGGATGTTTTACTGTACGTGAGAGCGCAGTCAGAGACCTCAAGACTTGGCTGATGTTCAGAAATCACAATCCCAGTCTGAAAACTCCTCCTCTGCTTGAATCTTATCATAGGGGAAGCGGTCAAAGTTTATATAGCAGGGACCCTGGAAACCAAAAACCCACAAAGACACAATCAGCCAAACAGACTTTACTTTGAAGCTTATGTTGTAGATGGATCTGAGTTTCGTCTTAAAACAGTTTAAAAAGCGTCTGAAACCTGATTTTCAAATTCACTGATAATTGAAAATATATTTGAGATTTGTACTAAAGAGAAACATTGTTGCTTAAGATTTTTTTTACATTGTGTCAGATGATCTGAGTAAAGAATAAGATTTAAGTTAAAAATGTGACCTTTCTTATAAGTCGTACAGTCGGTGCTTCCAGTTGTCCCATTCTTAATTTATGCCAGTTAATGCTATTAAACCACCTGAGAGATAATTGAGGGAAAATGTGTCATTAATAACAATAGAAACAGCACAAATGCTACACAAAAGCCTAGCACATCAAAATGACTAAACTCAATACACCTAAATTGTAATTGTGGGATATGAAAATATTTATATTTATTGAAAATATTAATCTGAACTAAGCACAATACACATTCATAAAGGTCACCTGTGATTTCTGACATCTTTGATTCCATTTTTCGTATTGCCCAAACGCTGTCCAGGACGTGGCCTGCAAGACATAACACAAACTGAAAATTAGCAATGTTAATACCTAAAAAACTGTTTAAACAATGGTGACGTTCAGATAAAATAATCTGGGATAAAATACATTTTATTACTTCTCAGATAGAAAACAAATCACAAACTGTGCCAAATAAATTCACTACATGTAAAAACAAGCCAGAGGTTTCGTAATAGTTTCTGTATTTACCTGCACAATTTAGTGATGAGAGATTTGGCACCTTCCCCCACATATGAAGGGAAATTAAGCACAGCATCCAAGATCTTGGCATAGATCTTCTGAGGTTCTGAACTGGAGAAGGGTGGGCTTTAGGACAAATAAAACTGTATTATTATCGCATGCGAGAAATTCACACAAGTGAGTTTTCCGAATATAATATCTGCAATGTGATTGGCTGGATTAACTCCACCTTGTCCACTGTGTCCAAATTGATTTACTAAGTCTAAGGGCCCTATTTTAACAATCTAAGCGCATAGTTTAAAGCGCACGGTGCAAGCACACAAGTGTTATGTACTCGAGACTCGGTCTCGGTCTCGGGACCATATTTCGGTCTTGTCATGGACTCGTGTGCATTTTGACTCGGAATTGACTTGTACTCGAACATTAGGACTCGGACTTATTCCCGAGTCCACTTGAGTCCCATTCAAAATATGTCATGATTATTACTGTATGTTAATATTTCTTTAAATTGTTGTTTGATTGAAACGTCCAATGATGGCTGACTTTCTTGTGCGCAACTGCGCAGGACTTGAGACTATAACGTTCGCGGCGCGCAAATGCAGCAGGACCCAGGTCAGATGTGATGTGGAGCCTCTAGCTCAACTATGTATTGAAAATGTCTGCCTTATCATCCATAATTCAGTTTGCATATAAGAGCCACACAGAATTCGTGTCCAGTAATGTTATGTGTAAGAGCACTTACTGATTGTAATAATTGTAAGTCATAATTGTAATAAAATTACCTTTACACCACCTACTATGTGGCCTTTTTACCATTACAGTTTACATGATTCCATGGTATATTTGATTTACTGTTTGAGTATGGTGCCAATTTTATTGTTACCACCAAATATTTTACATATTCTTGAAGATATATTTAGGTCTGATTTCAGACCCAACCTAAAGGCCTGTTCACACCGGCCGACGTTTAACGCCTCGTGACTAAACAAAGGGCGCCAATGTGAGTGTGCACACCGACGCGAAAAACGCCACGCGTAAAAGCGTCATTTTTTTTAAAACGCCTCGGGTTCGTTTTTTTAGTTTGACGCGCCGCGTCAAAAACTATCCGACCAATGAGTTTGGCGCTTTTGCTCACGTGTCTGGAGCTTCTGAAGTTACAGTAAAACACAACTTGGGGGCGCTCAAACACAAAACGGTCTTGCCGAGCACACATACGTAACGGCGAAGAAGATATAGCCTACGCCAAGTAGCGTCTACACTGCCGGGAAGAAATAAGACGAGGAAGATGCAAGGCAAGATGAATGTAGAGCTTCTGGTCTCGTTGGTGTCGGAACATAAAGAACTATATGACAAATACGACAGCGACTACATCTAAATCTTAATAAAAGAGAATGTTATGGAGTGGTATTGCAGAGCAAATGGGCGCCATCTAATGTCAGAGAATGAATTTGCATGTCCACTCGGCTCATCGTCAGCGAAAATCGCTTGGGTGTGAACACAAAAAACGCGTTGAAAAACGCTGGCGAATAACGCGCGCCGATATTCGTCCCGGTGTGTACGAGCTGTGTACGAGAGGTTATCCAACCTCTCTGGTCTCGGGCTCGACTCTCTTTGGTCTCGGTCTCGACTCGGACTCGACCCTCTATGGTCTCGGTCTCGACTCGGACTCGACCCTCTATGGTCTCGGTCTCGACTCGGACTCAACTCTCTTTGGTCTCGACTCGGACTCGACGCTCTATGGTCTCGGTCTCGACTCGGACTCGACCCTCTATGGTCTCGGTCTCGACTCGGACTCGACCCTCTATGGTCTCGGTCTCGACTCGGACTCGACGCTCTATGGTCTCGGTCTCGACTCGGACTCGACCCTCTATGGTCTCGACTCGGACTCGAGTGAGCTGGTCTCGACTACAACACTGTGTTTCCGATGACCTAATATGCACGCAAACGCACCAGGGTTCGATAGAATCAAGTTGAGTCTGAAACCAGACCAACGCTGCGGGGGGTGCCGGGAACAAACGCGCTCGGGCTCGGACCGCAGCAAACGAGCCCAGTGTAAAAGCCCTCTAAGTCAGTGTTTCCCAATCCCTTCATGAAGGACTCCCAACACTGCACGTTTTCTTTGTGTCCCTAATCAAACACACCTGATTCAAATCATCAGATCATTATTACATGTGTCCTTCAGGAGCAGGATTGGGAAACACTGCTCTGAGTGAAACAGTAGTTCAATTTTTTTTATTATTATTTTTATACAGATGTTCTTATTTAAACACTGTTGGATGTCATGCTGTAGAAACATTATTATAATCAATTATACAAAAGTAATAACACACATGACGGTCTAGAAGAGATCAGCTGATCAGAACACTACATGATGATTATATCGTTATCGTTATCATCAAGTAGCTGACATCATCTGATCACATTTTCTGTTACTGTTCTTGCCATAACAAACAGTTACAGCAGCCAGAGAAAAACAAACATTAAAACATCAAGAGTCAATCTGCCCAACTAGAGCAAACACCGATTACAATAATGGTGACACCAAACTATTAATTTCAATAAGTCATCAACATCTAAACCTCTGTTAATCTCAATAAGGACTTTTGTGCACATTACAGAAGAAAATCTGGTTTGTAATAAGTGAAGCTGGTAATGGTGTTTGTGGAGTTGTGGCCATAATGAGCACACAGTAAGTGCGCTGTGAGGTTACACTTTTAGATCACTGTGGCCTCACATTGTGGTCATTTGGAGAGATCACTGTGAGATCAACGTGTTGATGGGGAGTCTTTAGGCTAAACATAGAGACTGGAGCTTCAGATAAAAAAAAGACCTATACACTGGTCAGAATTGGGACAACATGTTTAAAAATTGTTGGTAGGTTGGGGGGTGCTCATAACATACTCTGCTCGGCTCGTAACTCCTCAAGCCACGATCATACGAGCATCAGTTATTTCCATATGATTTCTCCTGAGAGAGAAAAATAGCCTGCATGCTCGTAAGACGTACCCTGTACGCCCGGCTTTACTGTTGAGGCATGCAGAAACCAATATATGAGAAAACCTTTTACCTGCCCACAAGTAGCTCATAGATTAGAACACCAAGTGACCAGAAGTCAGCAGCAAAGTCATGGCCTTGGTTCTGAATGATCTCTGGAGACATATACTCAGGAGTACCACAAAACGAGTATGTCTTTTCACCCCGAGAAAGCTCTTTTGCAAAACCAAAATCAACCTGAAATCAAAAGAATACAAGAAAAGAAGATAAAAAAATAAACTTCACTGCATTTGACTGTTACAACATTGGAGGTATTTTTTTCTGACAGTGTTTGTCACCTATGAACAGAATATTCACTCTCAACTCTGTTTAATTTGTATAAAGTAAAAATAAAATAATTCTATAAAAAAAGTGTTGCTTGTACAAGTTTCTTATTGGCATTCTTGTCTTGACACTCAGTTTTGGTGAATGGCCAGTTTTTAGCATAGTGATACAGTATTTTTTCCACTTTCATCACCTTAAAAGTGCACTATGCAGGATTTTCGGGGGGAAAATACACTCTTGTTACAAGGTGATTGCAGCAGAGATGAAACAGGATCTAAGTGCAGCAGCTTTATTTGGAAACAAACTCAAAACTTCACAAAACAGAATCTCCGGTAGTGATGGGACGGTTGATACCGGGGCTCCGATGTTCCGACACAGTTTTCAAAGCACTATTGTATCACACACTGTACCGACTCTTTCTATCGAAATGACAATACCACGTGATTGATGACGTTTGAAGCTTCGTACGTCATGCATATCGGAAGGTCGGGACAGCTGGTCTGAAAATAATTGGCCCTTCTCGACCTCATCTGATGCATAAAAAGGGAAATGATTATGAGGGAGGCATTATTTAAATGATTTAACAATACACTTCCCTATAACATAATTTATGTTTTTTTAAAACAAAACACCCCAATTTTTTTATAATTATGATCACATACTTGTAAATTTTCAATATGTGAATCCGTTTACCAAGCTACACATGACAGGAGTTGTGGTCTCATTAGCAAATTAATTTAGATGAGATTAGATAGAACTGTATTGATCACGGACTTCCGAAGCAAGAAAATGTGTATCACCAAACTCCTCAATGAATTCAGATGCCCTGTGTAATGTTTGGACATCCATCCTAGATGGTAAATCTTGAAATATATCTTGTTCAAATCTATCTCAAATCATTTTTTATCTTTTTTGTTAAGGTAATGAGGATCGATAACAGCCTTGCAGCATGAGAAATGTTTTGAATTGTCACAGTGGCAAATTTATCACAATTTTATTTAGCAGCTTATAAATGTTAAATGCTTGTAATTGATCTATTTGTGGAAAGTAGAAAAACAAAACATTTATTTTACCAATTTCACATATCCTTTGGAGTCCAGCATGAGGTTTTCTGGCTTCAGGTCTCGATACAGGATGCCTTTGTTATGGAGGTATGCAAAGGCTTCAACCACACAGGCTGTTATAAACACAGCTATATTTTCCTGAAAGCGTCCTCTGCAACATGACAACACATACGCCCACATTCACACATTCAAACAGCACTAATTAGGAATTGTGATATTAGCTTTAAATAAACGCTGTCAAACATTAGAGAGAGACTGGAAACGGATTCTAAAGTGTACCATATCATTCAAGCAAAATGAGCAAGAAAGATGATTCCGAGGTGTTGTGGTTATTCACCAGGGTGTTGCTATGCGTTATCTAAGATGTTGTGAGTGGTTGTCAATGCATTATGCTGTTGCTACGGTGTTCCTGCCAGTTTATATGCAATACAGAAATAAAACAAAAGTAGGCTTAATATGCTTTCCTTATCAAACACCACAAACTCATGAATATCTTACACTTCTTTTAGCTTGGTCCAGATTTCCCCACCAGGGCAAAACTCCATTATCATATAGATGTAGCGAGAATCTTTGAAGGCAGTATGCAGCCTGAACAAGATCAGACAGAAGATTATAGTTATACAGAAATGATTCAACCCACATTGCAAACCAGGTTAGTTGGCTAAATGTACAGCAATGAACAAATCAAACAAAAGTAATTGAAATAGCTCAAAACAGCTAACGTTTCAAGTGGTTTTCCCAAATGTATCTTAAAATGTAACTTTTAGTGACTTCTGCAGCCTCAAATTATATAACCCCTTCAAGGCAAGCATCTTTAGTACTTAGGCCCCGTCCACACTACTGCGTTTTCGTTTAAAAACGGAGACCTTTTGCTACGTTTGCACCTCCCGTCCAGACTAAAACGGAAAAAACGAAGACCTAAAACGGAGAAGTTTAGAAACGCTGCAGCTCCGTTTTGCGTTTTGAATCTCCGGAGGGCGTTTTAGTGAAGACGGGACAAAACGAAGGACTTTAGAAACGATGACGCAGAGGCTCACGCTCGGCTCTATGCCAGCGCTGACTAGAATCACGCAGCGGAGGAATGGAAAGTTGACAAGCCATTAAAAAAGTATTGACTTAAGAACCACTTATATATTTTCTAATATTTTCAATAAATCATGCTTCCATTCACTCCAGCGACGAATTTAAAAATGAATTAAACTAAATTCTATATAAAAAAGGTAAAACTTTTACATTTTTAGGAATTAACTAATGCCAATGCCTAATGCCAAACATGTTTTCTTTGTAAGTAATTAATAATATGAAGTTTTATGTAACAAAGTTCGGGAGGAGCATGTTCAGGTAATCATCCAATCAGCACAAGAAGAAGCCAGTATAAATAAAGCCTTCCCTTACCTCCTGTCTCATGACTTCTTTCTCAGCATCTGACTCCGCCTCCGTGCAGGCATGTCCGAGTTAGAGCTCTTCCCCTCCGACGATGAATCTTTCATCTCGGAGTCATCTCATCCGCAAAGCGCAGATCCAGCAACTCTTCCTTCCCCAGCAGCCAACGTCAACATCGAGCCTCCATCTTCAACCAGGGGACGTCGGCCCTCCAGATCCTCTCCGCATACCCCAAGACGCCGTAGACTCCCCTCACCACCGCCAGCGAGGATCTCATCATCTTCATCATCGTCTTCCTCCGCGCCTTCCCACCTTCCAGCTCCCCCTAACATCCCCCCAATAGGGAAGTGGACGGTCAAGGGGCTAAGACAAGCCCTAATTAATTCTGATGCAAATTTCTCCCGCAGGATGAAAAAAGCAGAATTATTTAATTTATATGTCACCTTACAATCTTCTCACCCTTCTGTTTCAGCTCCAATTCCTTCAGCTCGAGCGAGCAAGGCTCGACGGGCCCCGATCGCAGCACTGGGCTCCGCCCCCACGCCACGACGTCTCAGACCTTCCGCTAGCCTGGGCCGCGCCCCGGAACCAGTCACGGTCGAGCGCCAATCTCCTCCAGGTCAACTCCTCTCCTCAGCCCCGCCCATCGTGGTACCTCACACTTTAGATCCTGGCAGTTCCACTTTCTTACACGATCCCCAATCGGGTTTCTTCCCTTCTACTTCTTTCAGTTTTCCTCCTTCCCAAGCGTCAGGTGCTCACCCTAACGTGAGGATGCCTCCGTTAGCCGGTCAATCGCCGGCGCATTTCTTTCCCCTCCCCTTTCCACACTATGCTCTCCCTATTCCTCCTCCTCCATCTAACCCGGGGGCCGATCTCCGCGTGAGGATGCCTCCGCAAACGGCCACAGCCCCGATTTCCCATCCCTTTAACCCTCTCCAAGCGCGTTCTCCTTTCTCGCTCTTTTCAGCCATTCCTCAACCAGTCCCTCAGAATGCAGTAGCTACTGAACCTCCTCCAGTGACGAACAACATCAGAGCTCAAATCTTAGCAGGTGCAGACGTTGATTTGGGTTCTCTCCTGTCCTTGTTTCCTCCGGCTGAGTCCAATCGCCAAGTAGACTGCGGCGACATTTCAGTCACTCTAAAAAATAACGCACAGGTTACATCACGTACATTGTCACTAGCCGAATTCTGTATAGCCTTCAGCCGCTATACAGAAGTCATATGCTCATCTTTTCCCCACAGACGGCGCGAGCTGAACGACTATCTGTCTATTATAGCTGAGCTCGCGTTGTCTTACGGGGGTAGTCACTTTTATACGTACCACAAGCTGTTTTCCGCAAAATGCGCCGTCCGCGTTTCCCAGTGGAATCAGTGTCCCTATTGGGGAGCGTTGGACACCGATCTCCATAACCGAGTCTTCCTCGGGTGCAAAAATATCTCCTGCGCAATCTGCAGATCCATAATCCATGCCACCACGGCATGCCCCCAGATCAATCCATCGATCCCTCCCTGCCCAGAGCAGAATGCCATAAAATCCACAAGTTACGTTCCGCGCCACGCAAGAGAAGATTTTTCAATCAGAGCACCATACTCGGCACCCGATAGACAAGTTTGTAGGAATTTCAACGAAGGGAGATGCCCAAGACAACGCTGTCGTTTTCTCCACGTCTGCGATTTCTGCGGCGGCGCACACGCCCGCGTGATATGCCCAGTTAAAAAATCTGTCAATAAAAATGCAAAAAACTATCTCTCGACTCCTGTGAATGTTTTCCGTCTAGCCGAAGAATTATCACACCACCCTGACGTCAACTTCACAAATTATCTATTGACAGGTCTCAATCAAGGCTTTAAACCCGGCGTAGAAAGCCATCCCACGCAAAATGTTATCTGCGCTAACCTTCAGTCCGCCTTAGCAGAGCCTGGAGTAGTAAATAAGCTAATTAAAAAAGAAATCGAATCCGGTTTCATGATGGGTCCTTTCGAGGCTCCCCCGTTCGACAAATTTCGCATCAGCCCCATAGGCGTGGCCACCAGGAAATTCTCTGGGAAAAAGCGGTTGATAATCGACCTTTCAGCCCCCCATAATTCTCCATATCCGAGTATCAATAGCCTCATCCCTCTCGAAGAGTATTCTCTCAATTACCACGATATCGAACAAGCCATAACCATGATTAAAATAGCTGGTCGAGGTGCATGGCTAGCAAAAGTAGATATCTCCTCTGCTTTTAAAATAATGCCAATCCACCCCGATTCATGGCACCTGTTCGGTGTAAATTGGCAGAAAAAGTATTATTTCGCCGTGCGCCTAACTTTCGGCTGCAAAAGCAGCCCAAAAATCTTTGACACTCTCTCCGAAGCCATATGTTGGATCCTTTCTAATAATTACGCAATTCCTCATCTTCTCCATCTGCTCGACGATTTCCTAATAATTTCACCCCACGACACCGTCCCCGAAGCTCACCTCCTCATAGTGAAAAAAGTTTTCGCCGAACTAGGGATTCCGTTAGCTCACGAGAAAACATCGGGTCCAACTACGTCCATCGAGTTTTTAGGCATCAATCTAGACTCAGCAAAATTCCAAGCCTCACTGCCTAAGGAAAAAATCGATCGCATTATTTTAATCGCATCCAATTTTACTGACAGCACAGATTGTGCAAAACGCGAACTTCTCTCGCTGCTGGGCCACCTAAATTATGCGATGCGCATTATTCCACAGGGCCGACCCTTTATCGCGCATCTCCTAGCCCTCTCTTCATCCGTTCATGCGCTGGAAGATCGGATCATCCTCTCCGACGAGTCAAAAAACGAGCTTAAGTTATGGATTAATTTCCTTAATCAGTGGAATGGCTTAACTTTTTTCTATGATGACTTTATCTCTCTCCCCCTCGATATCAAACTGTTCACAGACGCAGCTCCCTCGATCGGCTTCGGCGGCTATTACCAAGGACGCTGGTTCGCGTCCTCCTGGCCCCCCCAGCTCCTAGACACACCCCAGTCTTCAGCCTCCTCTGCCCTTTTCGAGCTCTACCCGATAGTCGTCGCAGCTTCCCTATGGGGAAAAGAATGGTCATCCAAAAGTATCCAAATCCATTGCGACAACGAAGCAATCGTGTACTGTATCAACAAAGGTCGTTCTCGCTCACCTGCGCTTATGCCACTCCTTAGACGCCTCATTTGGACCTCCGCATGCGACCAGTTCTTAATAACTGCAATCCACGTCCCAGGGGCTCAAAATCAAATCGCTGACTCTCTCTCCCGTTTCTCGTTTCAGAAGTTCAGGATGCTGGCACCAGAAGCAGACCCCACTCCAACTCCAGTACCTCCTTATTCTCAGCTGATCTTCCCATAGATCATCCGCTAAAATCCCTCCTGGACACGTCCATCGAATCCATCCTCCAAGCCGTTTCTCCCAGAACCCTGCAAACTTATTACACCGCATGGAAATCGTTCAAATCATTCCATCTCTCTCACAACCTGTCGTTTCCCGAATTTTCGCTTCTAACAGTTACTTCATTCATATCCCATCTTCACAGTTTTAAGGGTCTCCAAGCCGGATCCATTAAAAGCTATCTAAGCGGCATTCAATTTTTCCATAAATTAATCCACGGTAAACCTACACCTGCAATAAATAACTCCCAAACGTCCCTTCTAATTAAGGGAATCCAAAGATCCCGCCCCACGCGCCCAGATACCAGACAGCCAATCACAATCGATATACTCACCAGATGCATCTCATCACTCCGTCTTGGATACCACTCCATCAATACCGCATATACGTTAGAGGCCATGTTCATCCTAGCATTCTTCGGTTTCCTCCGCTGTTCCGAACTGACCATAACTTCCTTATTCGACCCAAATATCCATCCCGCAATTTCAGACCTTCAGATCGTAGATAACGAAACCATATAATTTTTCATTAAACAAAGCAAAACGGACAGAGACAAAAGAGGCCACTTCGTCTATATTTTCAATCTTCAAACTCCCATCCGACCGTACCATGCGCTTTTTAATTACCTGCAGTACAAACTTTCCTCGTCTAAATCCCCACTCGACCCTCTTTTTACTAACGACTCCAATCATCCAGCTACGAGATTCTGGTTCCAAAAACATCTAAAAGCAATCCTTACCAAATCCGGCGTCTCAGCAGAGCATTTCTCTAGCCACTCATTCCGCATCGGAGCAGCCACCACAGCTGCTCAA